GGGGGGGGGGGGGGGGGGGGCAGCTGTCCTACATTGTAAATCATGCTACCAAGAGTGTTTGGATCACTGGTACTACTAGGTTGAAGGTTCTCTTAGTTTTTTACGTATAGCATCTCGTGTTTTACATCTCGAACCACACATCATCATTCTGCCATTAATACCTACTATCCATGTTTCTGTTTTTTCTCTCACCGCCTGTCTTGGATGCATGTGTAGCTTCAAGGGTGCCAATCTGTACATAGTGAGTGGTTATAACTGCTTTCATGGGTCTTATATAGGAAACTTTGTATGAGAGAAGATGGACGGCAGCAAGTTTGCATTGTCGGACTGCAGGAATTTGAAGTTTCGGATGTACAGATTGTCAAAGAATATATTGAGAGGGGAAATGCAGCAAGAAGTACTGGCTCAACTGGTGCCAATGAGGAATCTTCAAGGTCGCATGCCATACTACAGCTTGCTGTTAAGAAGCACAGTGAGATAAAAGACTCCAGGCGGGCCAATGATGGCAATGAGTCCAAGAGTGGGAAGGTGGTTGGGAAGATTTCTTTTATAGATCTTGCTGGAAGTGAAAGAGGTGCTGACACAACTGATAATGACAGGCAAACAAGGTAATATTTTTGCACTAACTAGAATTATATATATTTTTCCCATTCAGATACTGCAATGGTTGACTAGATAAATAGGCATTTTACCCTGCTCTGTGCATCTATATCCCTAGTTTTTTCCCTTTTTTATATTCTAGCCTTGCAATGCCTTATTGCCTCTATTTTTTGGCTGACTAGGAGGTGTTTGTATCTCATAAAGTATCTGACCAATCCTTCCGATTACATGTAGTTGGCCCATCCCTCAAATATATTGAAATAAAAAGGGTGGCTCAGTGCTTGAGTTCTCACCATCCACCATGGGGCATATTTCAATTCATGATCTCCAGCTTGTGAAGCGGGCTTCAGGCTAACTTGTCTACCCCTTGGTTTATTACACTGCCACTAACTTGCTGAGCAATTAGTGCTAGTTGCTAGGCAGATCATAAGGACCACTAATAAGTAGCATAATGTGCGACTAGCAGACAGGCCATATTTACCAACTCCCTTCCAAACCACCCCCCCCACCCCGCGCGCGCGCGCGGGGCAGGTGGTCATAATTACCTATCTGTTAAATTCTTATAAAAAGACCATGGGAATGAAGGGTCAGAGGTTGTGAATGAGATGGTTAGAAAGCCTAAGGTCACTACAAAGAAATACCTGTTTTAACTTGCATTCATGGGTATTGCACCCATACAAATCTGAAAATAAATAATTGGTTGTGTTCAAGTGTTTTACATTTACTTTGCTTCATAACATCTCCTTAAACAGGTCTCTAGGTTACTGCTTAGGTTGAATCAGTTTTGATTTGTCCCGATGGGACATTAGGGATTTCAGCCATTACATTTTGAATCCTGCTTATCAATTGTGTGTGTTTATTTGGTTTGATTTACTTTTGCTGTCTCTCTATCAATAATTATATTCCGTTTTTTGTTAGAGAAAATAATATTGTTTCAATTCTAGAGCCATGATTTTGTTTGTTTTGCGACTGCTTTATACAACCAATTATCTATAACTCTAGTATCATATCTCTGAGAAATTAGAATTGCAATGCGAGTTACTTATAGTTTCTGGTTCATTGCAGGATTGAGGGGGCTGAAATTAACAAGAGTCTTTTGGCTCTGAAAGAATGTATTCGTGCTCTTGACAATGAACAGATTCATATTCCATTTCGTGGGAGCAAACTCACTGAGGTGCTTCGTGATTCCTTTGTTGGCAACTCAAGAACTGTTATGATCTCTTGCATTTCTCCAAATGCTGGTTCATGTGAACACACACTCAATACATTGAGATATGCTGACAGGTATGCTAGTTTGTTGGAAGTGGTTGAACTAAATATTTTGAGTCATGTTTGTAATGAAAATTTTATCTGAACAATGACAGAGTTAAAAGTCTCTCCAAAAGCGGAAATGTGAAAAAAGAGCAGGTTGCTACTTCATTACCCCCCATTAGTGAATCTTCATCAGCATCATTGTTGCCTGTTTCTGCTGATTTGGAGGATTTTTGTGAGCAACAGCAAGAAGTTAAAATTGCAGATACAGGCAGAAGGGTCATAGAAAAAGAAATTTCTTCTTACAATCCTTTAGCTAATTTTAACAACCAATCATCTAGTTTTACATCAAATGCCTTCAACGAACGGGAGGAAAGTGGGGTGACTTCTGGTTCTATGGATAGAGAGGTGTTTGATATGAAGACTAGTTTTAGTGGTTCTACAAGTCAAAAAATGTATACACCATCATATTCCCAAAACTCAGTTGATACAGAAGAGAAGGTGCAGAAGGTATCTCCACCTCGAAGAAAAGCTTATAGGGATGAAAAATCTGAAAAGCATGGTAACTGGCTGAAAAAAGATGGCAGCAGCTCTGATCTGACTACCACAAATTATAAGCAGCAAACTACAAGGACTTCTAGCACAAAAAACATTGGATCCAAGCAATATGAACCTGAAGAACCTTCTCATGATGGAAACATCAATGAAGTACTTGAGGTTTGTTATCAATGTGCTTCTGTTCATACATATTAATGTTTTGTTTTCTTAGAATAGAAGTGCACCATTTTCATCTTCTACAATTGTTTTACCCTGTTTTGATTTTGTAGGAAGAAGAGGCCCTCATTGCAGCCCATAGAAAAGAAATAGAAGACACAATGGAGATAGTTCGTGAAGTAAGTGAAATGTTCAAAAATTTTAATGCTTTTCTTTTAATTGTGAAATATTGGTCTGTCTTTTTCATTTCTTAAATATCAAGTAATATAGGATCCATTAAGGCACCAATGGTAATGAATTTTTAAATCTTGTTCTTATCGTTGAGTATCAAGAGGGGGAGTAAATATTGGGTGTAACAGTTACGCCACGTCTGTATTGCCACGTGGTGTAACATCCATGACAAGCCTCATGTGATGCTTAGATAAGGATGTTTCCACATGGGCTACAATCAGTGGTGGTGTTTGTTTACATAGCATGGTATTTGTTTTGTTTCCATTAGCATTCCAAATTAATATATTCTATTTGTATTAGAAATTCCATTCGTGTGTCATTAAGGTTTTTGGGCTTTATTTCATTTTGAAATTTTCCACGTGTGCAGAGAGAGGGGGAGAGATGCCAATTTTCAAACACTTTATAGAATAAAACATTAAGAGGAGCAAGAAGTGATACTGGTGTGATAGCAAGCAGTAGTTTTTGCAAGTGCTTAACCTGTTTGTTTTGCTTCTGGATGCCAGGAAATGAAGCTATTGGCGGGAGTGGACCAACCAGGCAGCCTCATTGAAAATTATGTGTCCCAGTTAAGTTTCGTGCTCTCACGCAAAGCAGCAAGTCTGGTCAGCCTTCAGGCCCGCCTTACCAGGTTCCAGCATCGACTAAAAGAGCAGGAGATACTGAGTAGGAAGAGGATACTCCGTTGAGGCTATACATCGCTCCATTGATATGACAAAAGAGCCACTACATTGTAACTACGTGACCCCCGATAGTTTCATATTTCATACAATATATTCGTAAGTTTTCCGGTGGGCTTAAAGTCTGATTTGTTCTCCTGCAGTTACGAACCAGTAAGTCAATTTCTTCTAGGTCAGAATGAATTAAGGCACTGCAATGCCTGCTCGTAAAGATAATGTGGCCCATGCCTGTACTAATGGCTTCGCAAGTGTGGTGACAATTACCGGTATGATTGGTTATGTGTGTATTCAAATGTACTTTTTCATATGAATGTGATTTGTTCTTGCCCAAGTTATACAGGGCTTGTGGAACTCTGGCTATTTGCTGATGACACCATTGTTTCTGTTCATGGTTTTTATGTTGCATTACTCGTTGTAAATCTCTTTGTATCGTATACAAGAAATGGGTGCCCTGAATATCATCCTTACCAAGATGCCCGAATGATGGGCGAGATCTATCTAAGCAGTATCAGTTGAAGTTATAGAGCACCCCTTCAAGTTTCAGATCGATATTGAGCTCCATATCCTGTTTACGAATACTCCATATGTAGAGACAAATCCAGTGCCATTTGATCGAGATCAAGTAGCTATAGCACATCCACTTAGAGATCAGAACCCCGTTCTGGGTATTTTGCTACATATCTATTTTAACTTCCAAATTCCAATAAAATGCTGAGGTCGTTCTACCTGTAGCATGCAGGGATGGCAAGCTGAATCAAGTTCCAGCCAATCGTGTGTAATAAGCCAAACTTGAACCACCAAATCTGCTCTGACCAATGAAACAAAATCAGTTTTCCCCAAAATCAACTTGAAAGGAGGGGAAAAGGAATGAAAAATTATGGCTCACACTCGTCTCGTGATTGCGGTCCTATCAATGTACATCAAGATAACAAAGAACAGAAGACTAGAAAACAAAATTATATTCATTTCCTCAAAAAAGGTAAAAGAATGCATATCATACAATTGTCAAATAATTTGAAAATGGTCAGAATAAGTAGTGATTCCAAACACTGAACAAATGAGGCCAAAAAAATTATAGCCAAAGGAGAAAAAAAGAAAAGAAACAACACAAAAATTCAAGCCAACCCTGCAAAAAGATGTCCGTCTTCCACACCTGATTAATGGTACTCATGCAGTACATACCAGGGTTCCCTCGCAGGCTACTGAATACAGCGTACTTAGGTTTCCCCAAACAAGGTTATGTTTGACCTATTAGCGCAATTGGGCAAACCACCAACTAGAATTCACACATGTTTCACTTTGTGCTCATGATTAAGGTGAAGCATTCATTCCTCTTGAAGCTACGGGGCACACCAACTTATAATAATCATTCATCCCCAAATGCAGATCCAGTATCTGCCAATAACAAAGGGAGTTTACAAGATGGAATCAAACCTGGAGGTTTGTAATTAATCACTCCGCTTTCAATCTCAAAATCTCCTTTGCAGTCCTCCGGCGAAAGTATGGCATATTCTCCTACGAGGAAAGGACACAGAGATTAGAAATTGAGGCCCTGAAATTAGAATTGAGGTTGGCAAGCCCCAATTCCGTGACATCACATAGAATGTATCTGGACATCCGACATCCAGTGGCAATCACGGTTACATAGAACTCATCACCAACTGGGACAAAGAATTATTCAAGTTAGAGTTGTAACGAAATTAAGCTTGCCATTCAAGAAAATGACAGCTATCAGTATCAGATCACTTTTAAGATATCATTAAGCAAAGTTCAACCCCCTCTATCATCGTAAGCCAAACATCCAGAGCAGGATTTTAATATGTGCTACTAAGCAATTCAATTTTTTGGAAAGCGTCAGGAACTGCACCCAAAGCACATAATTACATATTGCATATTTTTATCATATGGTCTTAGTGAGGTGGCAGCTCACAGAGCTAGGCAATGCCAGGACTTCAAAAATTGACCTTATTTCTCTTTTTCTTTTTCTTTTTTTTTCTTTTTTTTCTTTTTTGGGGCGGGGGGGGGGGGGGGGNGGGGCACACCAACTTATAATAATCATTCATCCCCAAATGCAGATCCAGTATCTGCCAATAACAAAGGGAGTTTACAAGATGGAATCAAACCTGGAGGTTTGTAATTAATCACTCCGCTTTCAATCTCAAAATCTCCTTTGCAGTCCTCCGGCGAAAGTATGGCATATTCTCCTACGAGGAAAGGACACAGAGATTAGAAATTGAGGCCCTGAAATTAGAATTGAGGTTGGCAAGCCCCAATTCCGTGACATCACATAGAATGTATCTGGACATCCGACATCCAGTGGCAATCACGGTTACATAGAACTCATCACCAACTGGGACAAAGAATTATTCAAGTTAGAGTTGTAACGAAATTAAGCTTGCCATTCAAGAAAATGACAGCTATCAGTATCAGATCACTTTTAAGATATCATTAAGCAAAGTTCAACCCCCTCTATCATCGTAAGCCAAACATCCAGAGCAGGATTTTAATATGTGCTACTAAGCAATTCAATTTTTTGGAAAGCGTCAGGAACTGCACCCAAAGCACATAATTACATATTGCATATTTTTATCATATGGTCTTAGTGAGGTGGCAGCTCACAGAGCTAGGCAATGCCAGGACTTCAAAAATTGACCTTATTTCTCTTTTTCTTTTTCTTTTTTTTTCTTTTTTTTCTTTTTTGGGGCGGGGGGGGGTGGGGAGAGAGAAGGGAAATGGGACTTGAACCCTTGATCTCAAGAAGACAAAGCTTTCACAAGGTAGTACCATTGAACCAAATACCTTATTTCCCTTTAACCTCTCATTCTGGCAACAATTCCCTGGAAGCATTGAAATTGTGCACAATGCTATGGAAAGATTTCAAAAACAAGGCTACTCAAACTGATCAAAAAATATCTCATCTCAAATTATAACAAACTTGTGAAAAACAACAAAATTACAAAACACTCATTTGATAATACTTAAAGAAATGTTTTTTTAGAGAAAATTACATTACTGCAATGCTTTAATCCTAATAAACAAATGTCAAGTAGAATAATGTGGAAGTTGCATTGTAAAAAACTTGCAAAGACTTCATTTGTGTTTCCTGTGGCTCTCTTCTCACTCTCATCCAATAATTATAAAATTCAGCGTATTGTGACGCATTTCAAAATTCCTCATTGTTTTGGACGTGTATGATTGACATGTCCATTCACATACGTTACGTGCTACCTAAATTAAGAATAAAAATTGCAAAGTTTTGTGTATCACAAAAGAAAAAAATGGATGTAAGCACCTCACAGGAAGTTATCAGAAGATGACTTACCTGGTTAAAACAGAGTCGTACACTTCTGCTATAAAAGTCAGCATATTTGATCATGAACATGCCACAGTCAAACCTGTTTAGAAACAATCCTAATATAAGATAGGTACACAACAAAATGGATGCCTGAGCACTAAATAAGATTTAAAATTTCGCTTTTTCCATTTCCCTATAACACCCTCTCCTCCCCCACATTCCCCCCCCCCCCCCC